GCCTAAGATTTCTTGGCCCATAGCCAAAATCTGGAAAATAACGAATCAATTTTCTTCAATTGCAAAGAATCAGTTATATCACAAATGTTTACATCATATTTTATTTCATCTGCATGCCATCTAATATTCTTTGTGTCATTCGCATTAGAAAAAAGCCTCTTGAACCTTTGAATTATTGATAAGTGTCATAACCCTTTAGCAGAAAGAAGTTTCTTGTTAACATTGTCATAGTTATCTTCTTGGCCTCATAACAACGATCCAACAAATTGGACACAATATCTTCTTGGCCTCATCAAAATGACCCGACAAATTGTTATCTTCTGATAGCATTTGTTTCAGTAAATCAAACAATTCGATAAACCTTTTATTCATCCACTCACTTTTAGAATTCAGATTAAACAATTTTAACACTGCAAACAATCGTGTAAAACTTTTGCACCACTTATATCAATGTGCATCCGTATCACTACATAAAGTATCATAAATATGATATTTTCTAAAAGAATATTCTTCAATATCACATATCATATCTTCTAGTCGATCATCCATATCTTCACCAACTTCATGTCTTTGTGACGTTACATTTCTATTTTTATACACCTCACCGTGCCACGTCCATATTGTACAATTTTGACAAATTCCATCACAACATAGGTGATGGAATATTTCTTCCTTTGATTTTTTTTTTATATTTCCGCAATTAACACAAGAACAATAAAAGAGATCATTATTGTTGAGAAAATTTTGTTTTGCGTATTCAAGGAATTCAAAAACTCTTTTCTCATACATTGAACCTAATCTATCAACTTTTATTCAACTACGATCCATAATAAATTCTGAAATTTATATCAAAAACGTGTAAAATCATTTAACAATACAACAACACAATAAAAATAAAACAATATCGATATCACTCAATCACAACAATATATAACATTCTCAATAACATAAAAATAGTCTCAATTTCACTCAATCACAACAACACTTATGTGATTGATACACTAATGTTACACACACATCATACTAATATGATTATATATTGCACACACATATATACAACATCACTCTCACATATGCTTGTAATTACCTACATTCCTCAACATACACACAAAATCTATATGATTGAAACCTAAAATATGATTTGTTATCGATTTTCATTCACAACAATATAACATTTAGCAACACCAAAATCTAAAACTCAACATGAATGGTGATAGAGGTGATGAAATAGAGAACATGTTATAAATTGAAGAAGAGGAAGAGGCCAAGAAATGATTTTCTATGTGCTAGCTTTTTGAAATTTGGATGTTTCCAAGAAATGAATGAAGGTGATGAAAACTGAATGTTCCAAGAAATATTAAAAGTGGTGAAATTTAGACTCAATTTTATCTGTTTTACTATCGCTTTCATCTGTTATTTGCTAGAGCACTTGGGTTATTAATGAAATAAACTAAATTTGATATGTTTTAATCTTAAAGAAACACATTTCACCACAGTTGCAAAGATCAACTATGGTAAAATATATTAATTTTAAGGAACATATAACCACAGTTGACAAATACTACTGTGGTGAAATGTTTTTAATTTTTATATTATAGAAATTAATGGACATGCCCTTTTTGTATAGAAAAAATGGAAAAATATTGGTGCTGAGATTTAAAATATGTAAACTTTAATATATCACCACGGTTATTATTACGGACCGTAGTGAAAAGTCTTTTAATAAAATTAAAATATATATATACAGGTGTTTAAATATCACATATTATTTTGGTTGATTAAATAGCAGAGATAATACATGTTACGATATGTATATTTTGTAGTTGTGGGTATTTCAATACACTGGATATTATAGGTCAGACAGGGATGAAGGAAAAAGGTCGGAAACTAACACACCCATCCACAAATTCCATGTGTCCACCACCAATGAAGTACAAGCCAAAGAGGAAGAAATAAGAAGAGTAAAAAGAATCAAGAGTGTGATGTGCATCATGATCCTTCACAGTGAGAGTATAATGACTCGCAGGGAAGTCAAACTACGAAGAGATCATGTACAAAACCAATTGAAAGTCAACCATGTAGTCTGTCTTAAAAAATTATTTACTTGTCTCAGTTTTCTGTTTTCTTACATCATTACATTGAAGACATTGTTGATCTGAGTAAAGATAAAAATTGTGGTTTCCGTGTTATTGCAGTTTTACTTAGATAGAGCGAAGAGTCTTGCTCTTTGGTTCTAACACAGTAAGATACTAAAGTTTATCGATACCATCAAATAATGGTACCAGAAGTTAGGAGTACGTAGTGGGTAACTAGCTTGGATGTGCAAGGTCGTGAGAAGTGGATGATAATTTCTGATATAGATTACAATATTGCTTCTAGATACAATGTCATATGTTGTTCCAGAACCTTAACATCACATTCTTTTCATTAGTGATAGTTTCATGCATATCTTCGAGTAGACACAAGATTATTGCAATTGATTTTGTTGACAACAATCATTAAATTTAGATAAAGTTAAAACTCAATTGTTTATTTCCTTCTATCTAGTTCGATGGAGACAGAATTGTAAGAAAAGTGCAAGAGTATGAGAATCGACATATGTGAGACATATTAGGCATTAGAAATAAGTTAGAAAGTAAAAAGATTATAACAAATTTGTAAAGACATTATAATACTTTTAGTAAGAATTATACTCTTACTAAGAATCATTTGAATAAAAAAAAGTAAAAATACATATCTGTCATTGTTTTAGAGGATAATTTTAATTTTATCTTATATTTAATTTTCTTTTTAATATGAATCATAGAATAGTGATAGTAATGAATGGTTAAGATTTAATTCTTGTTTTTCTTACTTTCAAATTTATTTTGCTAATATATATATATATATATATATATATATATATATATATATATATATATATATATATATATATATATATATATATATATTAAAAATGTCAAAAATTTGATTTTTTATAAAAACTCACCACTGCTATTGAATTTTTGAAAATTTTGATATGTACCAGATTTTTCAAAATATTTAGTACGTACTGTTATAGATTAACGATTTTTTTAAATAAATCGGTATATATGAAGTGGATTTTTCAAAAAATCCTATCTATGTACCAGATTTTTCATAAAAATTGAAATTTCGTCCACAATTTTGCAGAGTCTCATGGTTTTTTCCCGACACTTTTATAAATGTCCGATATTTCATCAAAAAGTTGTAAAATATCCTCTCTTTTTTCAAAAATCCTGTCTCTCTCCATTGCAAATGAAAAAAAAAAAAAAAGTGCAAAATATCCAGTAACTTTAAATACTTTGGAAAAAAACCATAAACTTTTAGTAATTACATAAAGGGTGCCGGGTCAAAGGATTGCAGGATAAATGTCGTTTTTAGTTTCTCATGCAATTTTAGTTTTTATTTTTCAATTAACCCTCTAATTAACTCTTAAATTAATAGTTCTCTCATCTTATATTAATGATAATTTAAATATACCAATAACCAATCAAGACAGTTTAATAAAATTGTTATTCTCTCTCTGATTTTTATAAATATAAAAAAAAGACTAGTTTTATACTGATTTTTATACTGATCCTAATCTGAGTACGCATATAATTAATTGCTTCAATTTGAAAAGCATAGCTGATAATATGCAGGTTGAGTAGTTAGAAGCGGGAGACATCAATCACATAAATAAGGTTGTTTTTAGTATAGGGTGTGGAAAGCACCTGAACCTTGTTATTTCCTGCAATTTTATCAGAATTCTTGAAACATAGTCACTGAAAATGTCATCAACTTTGTCAAGATATTGCAGCAGTTAATAAGACTAAAGGGGTAAGTAAGTCTCAAGATATTGCAGCTGTTTACAATAATTTAACTAATCTTTCATTTGTACTCATCTCTATCATAAAAAGAGTCATCTAGTTTCAAAAAATAAAGATCTTCAACAGTGAATCAACACCAATGAATCCATTACTAACATCTTATCTGGACTAGAAATTAAAGACCGCATAATATCCCACTCTGTGTAAAGCTAATGGCTTCACATTTTTGTGTGGACATGATGACAATATAGTGACTAAACCTTAAGTGGAAAATAGTCCATCCCTACTTTATCATATTATTTATAATGACACAAAAAATACAGCTAAAGTAAATACACTATGACCACTAGTTATAACACGGGTTGTCATGAGAGATATAGAGTGTTAAGGATCCGTTTCCCTTCCAACAGAATAAAAAATGATTACAGACAAGCTTCAGGCATTGTTCCATCTTCAATCCAGAGACATAAATTACAAATGACACAACTAAGAACTAGGGCCGCCGTCATTGAAAGCGCGCAAGGCGGACTATAGCGCAGGACTCAAAATTTATTACGTTTGAATCCCAAAACATTTCTCAAAGGGATTTCGTGATTAAATAAGACCTCTTTTTATTTTACTATTGAAACGGCTACACTAGAGACAAGAAACAAGATTCCAACAATAAGTGTCATTTTATAATCTTGACTTGAACTATACATACATTCAAAGGCAGCATTGGAATGCAACAGTACCATATAAAATTGTTCAATAATTTGGGCAGCAAAAGGGATATAGCTTGAAACACAATCCAATTGAGCAAAAGATAACATCCAATATTAACTTATTCAAAAAAAAAAAGTACATCCAACATAACAATAGAATTCAATACTCAAACAAGAATGGTTCTAGTCACTGACTCAACATACTAGCTTAAACACTATAATTAATAACCTTGGATGTCTAAAACATGTATTCAGCATATTACAAGCCACAAAAGGCTAGCTTCGTCTTTTTTTTCTTTTTTCTTTCATCTAACACAGTTCAAAAACATAAGAAGCAAAAACATATAACCTTATTAAAATCAAATATAAGAAACAACTAAAAAAACACTAGTAAAAGATAAGACAAAGATAAAACCCTTTCAGATAGAAATTTCCATGCAAAAGAGAGAAGCTTTCATGAAAGCATTCATTCAGACCGATTGGCGAACCGCTCGACATTGTGATCAGTCAAATTAAGCCCAACCATAGCTTCACCCAATCCACAACTAACCTCAGCCAAAACCTCAGGATCACTATAATGAGTAACAGCCTGAACAATAGCCCTAGCACGTTTCGCCGGGTCACCACTCTTGAAAACACCAGAACCAACAAATACACCGTCACAACCAAGCTGCATCATCAACGCCGCATCAGCAGGCGTAGCAACACCACCAGCAGCAAACTGAACAACCGGAAGCCTCCCGAGTTGTTTAGTTTGCATAACAAGATCATAAGGAGCAGCGATTTTCTTGGAGAATGTGAAAACCTCGTCATCATCCATGTTGGCAAGAACCCTAATATCACCCAACACAGACCTGACATGTCTAACAGCTTCAATAATGTTTCCCGTGCCAGCTTCCCCTTTGGTACGAATCATGGCAGCGCCTTCTCTGATACGGCGGAGAGCTTCGCCGAGGTTCCGACAACCGCAAACGAAAGGGATACGGAAGTTATGTTTGTTGATGTGGTTGTCTTCATCAGCTAGGGTTAGAACCTCGCTTTCATCGACGTAATCAATTCCGATAGCTTCGAGGATCTGCGCTTCGACGAAGTGGCCAATTCGGGCTTTGGCCATGACGGGGATAGTGACGGCCTGTTTGATTTCCTTGATGAGCTGAGGGTCGCTCATACGTGCAACGCCGCCCTGGGCGCGGATGTCGGCGGGGACACGCTCAAGAGCCATGACGGCGCAAGCGCCGGCTTCTTCGGCGATGCGAGCTTGTTCGGCGTTGACGACGTCCATAATGACGCCGCCGCGGAGCATTTGGGCGAGGCCGACTTTGACGGAGAAAGGTGAGGATTTCTTGGTGGTTTCGGTGAGGGCGCCGTTGCCGTAGACGGTGACGACTCCAGATCCTTCCATTGTGATTGGGTGAGAGATGAAATGGAAATGGAAATGGTGAAGGCGGTGGAGATTGAGGATGAGGAAGGGAGAGGCGATGAGAGGGTTATGTAGTGCTCAAATCTATCAATTAATATCTGCCTTCACTACTTCGACTCATATCCAGCCACGCATTTATCTAAATAATAATAATATATTTACTTTATACTTTTTATTTTTTTGCCCAATATTGTCATCATTTCAAATTTTGGTGGATGTCATTTTATATATATATTTTATATATATATATTATAATTTGAGTCAAGATGAAACTTTTATATATTTATTTAATGTTAAAATATTTATTGATGAAGAGAAAGAAAATATTTCTAAAAATTGTCAAAAATCAAGAAATTAGAAAACATAAAAAATGTTTGATTCAATCAGTTCGCAGATATCGATTTTGCTCTGTTCGATTTGCATATTTGTTCATTTATATTATATTCTTTTTTATATATTTTATATTAATTTATAAATAATCTAAATTAATATATTAATATAAAAAATATTATAATATATTTATAATATTTTATTCTAATAAATAACGGATCTTGTTTTTGGCTTTGTTATGAATTGGTTAGGGTTTTAGCAATTATAAATATTTATCTCTTTTGTTATTACAATGTGATAATTTTTAGAACTTTAGAGTTAAAGGAAGAAATAAGGGTTTAGAAAATTCTAAAAGAAACCTTAAAAATACAAGGATTTTTGGGAAACATTTGTCGTTATTTAACGGGATCGAAAAATACTTTTAAAATATTATATTTGAGTGATTCATATATTGAGAATCGTAAAATTTGAAAAATACTTTGGTATAAAATAGAGATTTGTTTTTGGTAGTCTTCAAATTTAGTTCAAGAGTTAGTTCTTGAGAATTTTGAAGGCGAATACTACTTTCTTATAATTCAGTTGTAATCTCTTGTAATAATTTTTTGAGTATAGTAATTAGAAAGTTGATCTCTCCCTCAAACTAAATTTTTTGATCGAATTGAATAAAAAAACATTTCATCTTTTCTCACCTTATTATGTTATATTGACTGCTTATTGTTATTATTGTTAAACATTTATTTTAATTGTTATTGTTTTTTACCTCAATATAAAGTGTTAATTGAAATTAAACTTTATTATTATATAACACTTAAAATTGTCAATTTCTTTATCGCCCACATTATTTATGTATTAATATTTTGATTCTAAATTTTAAAATTTACAATAGTTTTCTTTATCACAAAAAATTTACAATAGTTGAAAATGTGAAAGAAAATATAAAAAAAATCATTAAAATTTAATCGTTATATATTGTTAACATAAATTATTGTATATTATTAGTAAAAATTATTTAATTAGTTAGTATTATATTAGTTAAACTCTTATAGGATAATTTATTTTTTATTGGTGTATAAATAAATTCTTTGTAATGTTGTATAATATAGATTTGATAATAATATGATATTAATTTCAAAATGTGAAAATTTTAATACGTACTAGTCTAACATTTTCCTCTTTTTTTCTTTCTTTTTATCTTCTCTTCTTTCCTTTTTATTGTGTTTTTTCTCTCTATTTTCTTTTCCAAAACCCTAATCTTCTTCCTTATCTCTTTGATTCATCCTCTTTCTTTATCAATATTTGATACAATCTATTCAGACTTCTCGAACAATCCTTCCAACCCCTGTTACCTCAATCCTAACGAAAACTCTTCTATCATTTTTGTTATGGCACCGCTTGACCACTACAACTATAATTTTTTGTCTCGGGTCATGACTCCATCTCTAAATATAAGCTTCGATTAATTTATGGAACCTTTATTCAACCTTATACTGATCATTTTCTCTATAATTCTTGGCCTCGCTATAATAACGTGATTATGTCTTGCCTCCAACGTTCGATCTAGAAGAACATTATACAATTTTATGGTTAGACAACACTCACACATATGAAAGAATATGGAGAATTGCTTTTCTCAGGGACACACTTTCAATATTTTTGATATTCAGGATGACCTAATCCACCTTCATTGAGGAAATCTGGATGTTTCAACATATTTCACCAAATTGACATCTCTCTGGGAGCAAATCGACTCCTTCTAACCCACTTATAAGTGTACCTATTCATTTGCTCTGCCTTGCATCAATTTTATATTTACATTCATGGATGGAAAGTCACATGTATATTGAATAATTGATACATGTGTTACTCATCATATTACTCATACGCTACATGATTTTATTTCTTATTATTATGTTTCTCCTATAAACATGATATTGTCCAATGGCACAACTGTTCTCACCAATATTGTTGGAATAACTCACCTTTCTAAATCTTTACTTCTCTCCGGTGTATATTACATTTCTTTTTTATTTTAATTTAATTTCTAAAACTAAATTTGTTGATCCATCTTTTTGCCAACTAACCTTTACTGACAAGCAATGTCTCATTTTGGAGAAAATTTCTATAAATATGATTGGCTTAGCTTACGAACATGAAAACATCTATTTGCTCAAAGCTCAAGTCATTTCTTCTCTTTCTACATCCCTTATTACTTGTAACACTGCTCTTAAAATAATTATAGTCTTCAGAATAGGAGATTAGGTCATATATTTCATTATGTTCATAAACATTTGACTTCAAAATGCCCTAGTATTTCAGATGATATTAATAAATATTTACCATATCCTTTTTGTAATTTAGCTAAGCAAAAGTGTTTATCTTATTTTGATAATACTAGTATTTCTTCTCATTTATTTGATGTCTTACATGTTGACATTTTAGGTCCTTACTCCTTACCCTTATTAGTAATAAATAAATATTTTATTACTCTTGTAGATGACTGCATTAGATTCACTTAGGTTATTTCCATGGCACTTAAAAGTGAAACTAGAAAACACTTAATCAATTTCATTTCCGACATTAATACTTCGTTTTCATCCCACCTGAAATGTTTACCCATTGATAATTGACCTAAATTTTTCAATGCATGTTTCCATTAATCGAAAGGAATCTTGCATCAAATATCATGTGTTAAATACCCTCAATAAAATGGTATTGTTGGCAAAAAACATCAACTCATAATCAATTTGTAAGATCCATTTTCTTTCAAGAAAACATTCCTAATTTTTTTGGCACCTATCTATTGCTCATGTTGTTTATCTTATTAATTATTTTCCATATCCTATCATTAAAAATGATACTTCTTATTTCTTACTGCATAACAAATTTGTTGATTACATTATTATAAAATGTGTTGAATTCTTGCATATGTCTCTACTCTTCATACTAATTGCACAAAAAATGATGCTATATCTAGGAATTGTGTATTTTTGCGTTATAGAGAAGGAACACAGAGTTATCTTTTCTATGATATTCACACTAATACTTTTCTTGTTTCTAAGAGTGTTGTTTTTTTATGAATTTTATTCTCCCTTCACTCAAACCCATGACCATATCCCTTTACCTCTTATTCCTACAAATTCCTTTGATACAATTGACCTTTATTATATCACTCTCCCCACCACCACTCATATCAACCTTATATTTCTTTCCAATTCTCCCCATGCTCCTAACTGTGAGTGCAATTTCACCATTAGATATTTTGCATGATGACAAAATTAGGAAAACTTAGTATTTATGTATATTTAACGGAATCTTTGTATCGTTTGGTGCACCTTACATTAGAGGTCTTATGAAGCGTTCAAAACAAGTTTAAAATTGATCAAAATCATGAAAATCATTTTCTACATAAATTTTTATTGTATGTGTCGGCACATATTGAAGCTTTTAAGAAATTGCAGAAATTATTATTTTATGTATCGATACATATAAATTTCAGGTCGACACATGTACTGCATTTTTAAAGGCAACAAGTTATTGTCTTGCTTATGTCGACACATGTAGTTAAAATTTGACTTATGTGTCAACACATACAATTTTTAGGTTGGCACATATTGTTTGATTGGGTCAATTTTTCAATTCTTTTTAATTCCGAAAATCTCGTTTTTACATCTAAATTTCCACAACTATAAATACATCATTCATGCATCATTCTAACTTGATGATACCATTAAAAATTTCTACAATTACTATTCACCTTCAACCTCCAACCTATGCATACACACTAATAAATCACACATAATAATATTTTATTGGGGTACCATCTAGACGATGTTTAATAACGTCGAATTAGGTTCTTGTGCAGCCGAGAATATTGGGTTGAGATTTACAGGGGTCTTCATCCGGAAAAAAACACGGGTTCATCCTCCAAGATCATTGATTGATTTAGGGGTTTTCATGCAAGACGTTCAAGAGAGGATTACGGCCTAGTGAAATCCTTTGGAGATAAAGAACACAAAGGAATCTTTGGAGATAAAGAACGCAAAGGAAGTAGCGTGAGAACGGTGAATCAAATTGAAGTCTTGTGTTGCAATATATGCAATTGATGGTGCGTGAAAGCTTTAGAGATAAATTACACAAAGGAGTAGCAAGATTTGGTTAATCAGTTGCCATGTTATTGTTTCCTGGTCTTGTTGAAGATCAAAATAAGAGAAGGGGTTGAATCAACATCAAACGGTTATGGTTTATAGGGTTGCTCTTGAACAGTTCTCTTGTAATCATACTTTTGCAAAGTAATAAAGTACCCTAATTCTAAATTGTAATTGGATGCAAACATACCCAAAGAGGACGAAAGTGAGGAACTGTGTAAACAAATCCTCGTGTCGCTCTCTATTATCTCTTTACTCGCTTTTGTTTTCATTACGTAATTTAGCGAATAACATTCATTGATCGATTGACTCATAAGAATTTTTCTGCAATTATTTTGTTTAAAGTTGTGTGTTGATTAGCTTATAATCACTTTGATTATAAGTGATTTTTATATCAACACAACTCAAAGGAAAATTTCTGAAAAAGTCGAACACACACCAAGTGTTCGACAAATTGCAATGTTATATATTTTTATTTAAATTCCATTGGAAATAGGAAACCTTTGT